CGAAGAATCAATCTAATCACAAAATTTTCTATGGCTTCCTTTCATAATTGTATTTGAGTTACACTTATACTGAAATTAACCTAAGTTCGAATAAAAATTACTTCTAACATAATGATAATAAAATGTTCCAATGATCCTCATTCGAACTATCACATTCTAGATTAAACCATTATTACCAAGAGAATGAAAAAATTCGACGCTATCTTATTGATCTATTTCTTAATTAATTATTCAACTAAAATTAGAATCAAACACAATGAATATTTTCTGATCTCACTTCTGATAGATAAATCACATTGTAGTCTTCCTACTCTCATTTTTTTTATATGAAATTCTTCTTTATTAAGTTTGGAAAAATTAATTGAATACACAATTTCATATGATAAGTGAAAAATTCCTTTTCTTGGCATTATTTTTGACATTTCGTATCGAAGAAAATTAATTTCAAATGCAGTTTTTATTCAATTCAAAACAATTATCAAGTAGATTAGTACTAAAAATTCAATGATGATTCTTTTGCTGTTATTTCTTACTACCAAAAATGTCGAGATTCTAATATCTGTATTTCATCTTTATACAATAATTTTTTTATACTATATTTGTTTTAATCATTAGTTATCATTTATAACATAAAAAGCAATGCAATCGTGACTATATCTTTTGATCATAAAACTTTAAAAAATAACAATAACATACAAGCAAAAAAACAGAATCACTTTACAAACAAATATAAAGATATTTAATAGAGAAGAAAAAAATTTTCTTCTTTTCTTTTTTTGTTAAAAAGAAAAAGAATATTATTGATATTCTTCATTAAGAGCATCATAATAAATATCATCATCATCATTGATAGTTATTGAATTTTTTTTCCATTTTGCTCTTATTTTACCAATAACATGATTTGTACGAGCTTTTAATGTATAACAAGCTCCATTTGATGAATAATATTCATAAATAAAATGTGAAAAGGATCGTACAGCTTTTTCAAATGTTCGATTCCAAAAGGGTTCAAATAAAATAGATAATAAATAAAATATTTGATAAATTTTAAATATAAACATCATTAAACGTGACATTATAAGATAAATAGCTGAAAATATTGATTTTATCATTTTTATCCATCCATGAACAATTCGAATAATTCGAATTAATTTTTCAATAAATATAACAAATTTTCGTATTATACGATCAATAAAAATAAAAAAACGAACAATATATGTTACACTTACACATAATCCATGATATGTTCGATAGAGATTATTAAAAAATGATCTTGAATGAAATTTTTTTTCTCGTCTTTCATTAAATTCGAAATGAGATTTTAGACGATGTTTACTATTAAGAAAATCAAAAAATAATAAATAAACTATTCACTAGAAATTAACTTAACTCTTACTATTTATAACGAACAAATAATGATGGACGTTGATATATTTTATGATGGTATTTCTTTTTTGATTTGAATGAAATCATATGTGAATCGGATGATGTTCTTCTTAACCTGATCATGATGCGAAAAGAACGAAAGAAAACGTGCTGGAATGATGAAAATTAGCCTGTAAACATCAAAGTATATCACCATTTTTTTTTTCACTATAATTATACTGTTTATATTGGTGTAGGACGAAGGGTAAGAAGGTGTACATGTGTTGTCAAATATCTTTCACAGGTAGTAAGTTGAGGAAAAAAAAATCTTTTTATCTACGAAAAAGACATTCGTTTAGAAGATCAAATTCTTGTATCTTCTATTAAATCATATTCTTCATTTGAAAGTATTCCTTTTATGTAATACATGATGACAAATATTTGAATAAGAGAATGAAGAACACAATTTTCTTTAAAAAGAAAAGAAAGAACATAGAACGAAATGATACCAATAAAAAGTGGCAGAGAATTCATTAAGAACATTTGTATATTTGTTAACATGATAGATGAATCAGCTATATGCCTACATAACATACAGTTTTTTTTTTTTTTTGTTATAATGAAAAAGAAAACAGTAGATGACATGTTATCTAATCATGTCTTTGCTTATGTATATATGATGAATTCGCTAAGAAATTCAAAATTCGAACCAATTGAATTTTGTTTCTTTGTTAATATGAATAAAATTTCTTCGACGCTAGAACATTGTTCACGTATAATCTATGTAATGAAATCTATATTGACTAATTTAGAAAAGAGAAAATAAAGCATTTCGTTACTTACCATATTATCATATATAAACGAAAATTTGTTCACTTGAATTTAATAAAAGAAAAAAAAAAAATTTCCTCCTATTAAGAATACCGATTCATGATTATTTAAATTGAAACTTATTGAATTTGACATTTACTTAGTACATACTACGAAGAAACAGAATTGTTTGTATTGATCATATTTATAAGAAAAACAAAATAATGTGTACTTAGTTCTGTGGTACGCTAAAGAGTATTTTGTTAGAGGCATATATATAACAATGATCCTTGTTTAGAGAGATATAAGATTAGGAAAAACAAGAAAACATAAATGTCGCAGTTCCGTGTGGCATAATATGAGACGAAATCTATTTGTTCTTCTCTTTACTGTAAAGCTTCTTATTAAGAATATTTCTTTTTTCAAAATCGTATGTCTTATGTGTTGATCGATTCAATTAAACTTATTTTATCTGATTTGATTTTTATAGTTTGATCAATATTCAAATAAATATTCTTTTCTATTATATTGACCTTTATTCAAATCAATATTGATATTTCAATGTAAAATTTGTTAGTTTATTATTTAAAACAAAAGTTAGAATTCGCCTACGTCATCGAAAGACATCAGTTCATTTGATTAACAAAGAAGAATAAATACAGATGAAAGACACTAAAATTTGTTGAGAAACATTAAATGATATTTGTTTTTTGTTCGAACAAAAGTGGTTATATTCAATGATTAAAAAAATTTTTATCTCATTCTATTATCTAGTAAGTAAAAAGTATAGAATCTAATATGTATGTAAATATGCTCCAGGGAAATTTTCGAAAAAAATATTTTTCTCCAAAGAAAATACTTATTACTTTACTTGGGTTTATTTATTAATTTCTGATCTTCATCTTTGGATTTGTCTTCTAGTTCTCTTCAAACTCTCAATAAGAAAAACACTTTGATCATTTTCAAGCAAACAATTATATTGTTCTTTAAAGTGTATCATTAAATAATCATTTTTTTTTCTGTTAGTTAATTGTAAAATTTGATATTATGAACAAAAATATGAATTATTAGCAATGTAATTTATTATTGAATAATATTTTATTTTTGTTAAATAAAAGCAAAGTTTCAAAATAATATCATTTGTCATTCTCCAGAACATATATACATATTTACTATCGATAAAAAATAGAAGACCAGCGTATTTTTTTTTCTATGATATCAAGCATTTAAATCAAATCCAAATAATGATTTGAACAGTCGCCAATAAAGTTATCTACTAAAATACGTTCCACACCGAAAGTTCATAACTGAGCGCTGTGAGAGGAAGATTTTTGAAAAGCCAAATATGAAGATTTCCAGATCCAAGATGATTGTGCAGAAATTAATTTTTAAGAACACAAAATCCTAATTAAAATGAGGAATTGCTGAATGCCGTACGAACTTCCCTTAAAACGTTATAAACATCACAATGTGAAATTGATCATTGCAAAAAAGCGCATTTTTTTTAGGATCCTTATGACTTTTTAAAATAAGGTCTAGGAAATACGGTAATCCTTCATTTCATTCACAACTTTGTGATCTTCAAGCTGATACTCTTAAAAATATCTTTCTCTCATAGTTCATCTATGAAACTTCAGTATGAAATATATTTGGTAGAGAACTTCATCGTGTATTCAAATTTTAAATTTGTATTATATTAACTTGACCGTATAAACAAAGTAACTTCATAGAATTTTTTGAAAAGAAGTAGCAACTCGATATAGTTTGACAAAATTTCTAGATACGATCTTATTAGATGTCGAAATCAATTTGATATTCTATAAATTTGTATTCAACGATTAAAAGTTAATTATTCATAATATTTCATAAACGAATTAAAATGTCTATGTTAGTCGAAGATAAATTCATATTTTTTTTTTTTTATTTATGATGTTTCGTTATGGTTCTTCTTTTTCATAATTCTTGTTAACAAAAACAACCGATAGAAATCTTGCAACGACAAAAAAAACACAAGTTCAAGAAAATTATAACATATTTATGCTTATGATGTTGCAATAGCAGTCGATTGTTCGCCTGGTACTGTTCGAATAATGTCTGAATCACCTGGATCAGTGATAGCAAGAATACCAACACGGAAATATTTACCACAAGCTGTACCTAATTCAATATTATTTCCACTATAATGATGTACACCAGTTTTAGCTAACATAGCATAGTATTCGACTTCACTCTTTCTATTTAATAAAAGACAAAAATTTTTAATTTTTTTTCAAAGTAGAAAAAAAAATAGACTTTACCGAATTTGTGGTGTATTAGCTGAAACAAGAATTAATTTAGCTTGTCCATTTCGTAAGGCCTTTAATGTTTGACGATAGCCAAGAACATATTTACCGGATTTCATAACAAGTTGAAGACGTTGATTAATTGTCTCAGCTTGTTTTTTCTATAGTGAACAAAAAAAAGCAAGGATCAATATGAATCATTGAAACAAAAAAGAAAAAAGCTTCAACATACTCCGGCGACTTTCTTTGGTGGTGCCATAGTGTCAACAAGAAAATCTAAAAAAAACTAAATAATTAAAGACATCTTCTATATCATAACAATAACATGAAATGTGTATTTTAAATAATAAACAGAATCCAAGCTGAAATGGTATTTTCATGTCATCATTTTGATTCGACTATATTTTAAATAGGTATCGACCTCCTTCAACATATATATTCTTTCTTATTCATTGAGCGCGCTACCATCGCTTTTGTTGTTATGAATATATATTGTTGTTGTTATTTGTTTTTTATATTCAATAATCTAAAATAAAAAACTAGATGCGTTCTTCAAATGGACCATTAAAATTATTTGTTGGTGGTATAGGTGATAATCGTAAATCTGATTTAAATCGTTTATTTAGTAAATATGGTGAAATATCAACAATATATATTGATGAAAATAAACATTTTGCTTTTGTTGAATTTATATCATCAATTGATGCACAACGTGCATTAGAACATACACATAATAAAATTGTAAATGGTTCAAAACTTCGTGTTGAATATGCTAAATCAGATAAAGTATCACGTGATAATCGACGTTCATTATCTCGTGATCATTCACCAACATCGACTTTATATAGTCATTTACAGGTTTAAATCAAAAGAATATGTTTTTTTTTTACTGATGTTGAAAATAGAAAGTTAAAACAGAATGTGATAAGCTGATTAAGAATATGAATTTTCATTTTCTTTTTCATCACGTACTTTGTCTGAAAAAGTGTTCAATTAAAGATAATCAACTAATTTTCAAAATTAAATTTAGAAAAGTCGTTTATAAATGATTTTCATCAATACATTTTTGAAATCTAAAGAAAAAAACAAGAATGAAAACACATATTCTTCATCACACTCTATCCAAATATGTATAAAATAAAATTCTGCTTTAATTTTACATTTTAGGTGCCTTAAAAATTATATTCTTTGAAATATGTGGTTTTTTTTTTCGATAGGTAACAGCTAATCGTTTACCATCTATGCAAATGTTTCGTCAAAGTTATTATCAACATTATCCATTAACAATGACAACGAATCCTATGACGACATCTCGTGGTCGATCTTTAACACCACCATCATTTAAACAAAATGCTTGTTTACCACCGATGCATCATTTGCGATCACAAGATTTATATTATCATCATCCAGCTATTTACAGTGATCCAAATTATTATCGAACATATGGTGATCCATATTTAATGCAACGACTACCACCACCAGTTTTTCTTCCTTCAACACCACCACCATCATCATCATCGTCATCATCATCACGTGCCTATAGAAATATGTATTCATCATCTGGTATTAATCGTGATACGTCAAATATATCTACATCATCACATCATAGACGAAGTCGTAGTCGGCACAGGTACGAAAAAGAAAACAGATCAACACTACATCGAATTGTTCGTTGCTATTCATCTTTTCTTTTTCTTCTCATCATATTTATTTATCGTTTCGATTATGTGACAACTGCTTATGTCATAATCTAAATTTCTTTTCTCTTTCAAATCAGGCAGTCTTTGGAGAATATAATGGAATTTATATAAAGGTTGGTTTTTTCCGATCTGCTATGTATTTATATATCTATATAAAATAATACTTTTTTATATGAAATTAACGAAGAAAAAAATAATAAATTATTTTGTCTTTTTTGTTATATTTAGAAATTCACTATCATATCGAAATCGATCTAGTCGTGAACAAAAACATAAAAGACGAACATCGTCATCATTATCATCATCAACACATGAACAAAAATGTGAACGTGGACCACGAACACCACCATCTAAATCATCAACACATCGTTCTAGGAAACGGTAATAATTATTCGTAATGATCAGATAAAAAGTTCTCAAAATTTAAATAGAAAAAGTATTTCATTGATCTCATTATAACAAAGTTTCATTTTTTCTTGTGAAATATAACCTAAAAGCGTAGACGGTGAAATCACATAACGAAAGTCTATCATAGATTCACGCTTTAAAGACTCAAACACTTTTCTTATTCAATCAGATTGATCAATTTGAGAAGCAAAATAATAACATATTCTTAATCAAGCAGACTTAGAAAACATTGAGTTTTGTAAAAGTAAGATATCGTTAATGAATTGAAGTGAAGAAAAATTGTAAGAAAAGTCTAATCGAGATTATGTAGAATTTTGTTTCGTCTTCTGTGTGACTAACATTACATACCAATTAAAGATTTTCAACAGTGAAGAAGCTCACAATATAAAATCTTTTTTTTTGATGAAACATTTCTGCTTCACTATTAAACATTTTTCCCGTAAAGTAACGGGTGGCCCATAAAGAATGGCGGTGTCAGTATTTCGTGAATATCTCCCTCAATTTTCATTGCCCAGGCTTCAACCTTTATCTAAAAGACGCGCCATTCAATTCTCTACAAAATTATATGAAAAGAAACTCTTCCGATGAATAGCTGAGAAATCATATCTGGTCAACACTGCAATGCTCCAAAGAAGCCCACTTTCAAATCACTGTTTTTCGTTTTTANTACCCTCCTTTCAGTAGAGGGAATTTCACTTCTTCACCATCGACCTATCAAAAGTTATTCAAAAAGTGGCCACCCTTTTTTTATTTTGAAACGGGTATTAGTTATATTCATTAGCTATTATATAATTATATAGTGCTATATATTTACTATATATTCCAGGCCATTTGAACGTCATAAAGTTCTTTAGGTTGAATAAGATGAAAAACTTATACTTGGTATGGTAAAAAAAATAACCGCTGATCAATAATGCAGTTATTTCCCTGGAGCTTTAATTCAAGTTTTAATTTGTTATTTATTAGAGCATGTTGTGATCTATCTTCAGTGGATGTACGTTTAAACTCTCGTTGAAATATAGTGTCTCAAATGTAACCTTCTGTCAAAATTTGTTGTCAATCTTTTAACAGTGATCACTCATGTTTTTAATCCACTAAGTTTCGAATAGATAAACAGCAAAAGTATACCATCTTCAGATTTTATATTGATCATTTCATTTTAAAATAGGTTGTTTGATTCTTCCTTAGGAGAATTAAATACATGAAAAAACATGCATAGGTCCCCTTGTTAGACGTATACTTCCAGGCAAAAATCTTTTCTCTCTTTGTTTTTTTATGCTATGAAGCGTTGTATTAAATTTATTACTAAGTAGAGATATATTATAAATACTCTGAAATTCATTTTAATACGCTTCAAAACATATTACAGAATAAAACCTAACCAGAAATATTTCTGTCTTTTTGTTTTTTCATGACAAACTTAATAACATCAGTAAGCTTATTTACATGTCACAACTAGACATGCACCAAATGTAAACATTAAAATTTGGTAAATTTACTTTAATATTTGTTGATTCGAGTTTAAACACTTTTTTCGATCCTCATCTGTACATTTTCAAAATATTAATTGAGCTTGAGTATTATTTGTGCTTACACTATGAATAGCAGGAGTAAAAAACTCACCGTAGTCCTATGTAGATAAAAGATGAAATTTAGAATAACTTGCTATGTTACATTTTATTTGATACAGTCTTGTTTGATAAGATACATATGAACACTGTTGCTGAGACTGCAATAACCTCTAATAAAGTTTGAACAAATTTCCAACAACTCGTCGTTCTCTGGAGCATCACATCACAAATTTCAGATTTTCTTATAGCAAAACAAGTGCAAGGTGTGGAGACTGAAAGTACACACTACTCAGTGTATTAACATTTTGTTTCATTCAGTTGTTTTATAAGCGAACTCCTTTTGTTCTTCACAACAAACATATCATCAAAAAAAAAGAATGTCTCTCATAAATAACGAGGAAAAAAGAGAATATTGGTGAACAGAAAATACGACATGTAAACAATCGGATATAGTACTATGTATACATAACTTATTTCACTTGTCATATGCATCAGTTGGCAGACTTTTCTTTTGTCGGATTCTATTCAATGTTATTAAGTGTGACTTTTCATGACGTCTTGAATTCATTGTAGAATTTTGTCATTTCCATTTAATTATGATATGATATATGTCCTTTAAAGTAGTTTTATACTTTCACAATGTAAATGTACAACCTGTTTCTATCTTTAAAGAAGTACTCAATAGACGTAAAAAAAGACGTAAGTACATAGGCTAATGATGAAGTACATAGAAACATGAACGTAGAAAGTATGTTGTTTACTGTTGAATGATTTTTCAAGATTGTTTGCAGACAGTATTTATTATTTCGTACTAGTTTCAAACCTAGAAAGCTACCTAATCTAATATCGTATAGCAATATGAAGCAGCGAAAAATAAGTTCGTCAATGACATGATGAAATAAGCTTTAAGAATGAATTGTTGTTGAAATCATATAAATTTGTAAAGTATCAGTCGGTACTGTTTTCTGATAATAAAGATTTTTAGTACTGAGCTTTTTTTTTGTTTTTAAATACAACAACACTTCATAAAATTCTCCAAAATAACTATATCATATAAGAGTGGTACTTATCAAAACTAGTTGACCCTACATAATGTAAGACAAAAATGATTGATACATATAATCAACATATCTTTTTGTAGAGCATAAAAAGTTTTATCAATTTATACTGTTGAAAACAAAATTTGAGTGAAGTCCAGAACTCGTATTTTGAGATTTTAATGATAAAAGGCACTTAAAGGTTCGACTTATTAGATATATCAGCTTTCAGGATCACTATAAAGTTTAAAAAAAACTGGATTACCATATGTAAATTTTATCAAGCTAATCACATTTTCATGAAATACTTTTATAAGATTTTGTCTCTTTATCTAAAGAAATCACATCTGTAATTTGTTTTATTTTTGATATTACATATCTGAATCTATATCTAACATGAAGCCGTTATTCGGTCAATTTACAAAAAAAGCACAAATAGAAGAATACAAAAAAAAAACATGTAAGCTAATAGAAGCTCGAAGACAACGATTACATTAAAAAAAACTAAGATTACAAATAATGAAAATTTACAAATGAGATTGTGATGAACGGCCATGACCTTCAGTTAATTGCATATGAGAACCATTTGATAATGGATAAGGAAAATTCTTTTGATGATATATATCATCTAAATAATCTTCAGTATATTCACGTAGAAATTGAATTTCACCAGCAAATAATACACCTAGTCAAATAAGCAAACATATTTTCAATTTCACGAAGGAATACGAAAACTCGAACTACTCCTGTTAAAGACTGTCTCTATGAAAAATATCAGATCGAAATTCGAAAATGAAGTTTTCATACTGCTGCTGAGGTGACGGATGGCATTCGTTTGAAAAAATTCGATAAAAGTACACTATGGCCTCAGCAATAAGCTAAGTGCACGAACTCTTTTTCAGGGTATTCATATCCCATTTGGAGAATTTCCCTCGTCAGTTTTTTTTTTCAAATAAAAACTTACAAGCACAGAAAGCAAAAATAATTCCTCCACATTCCAACCAATAACTAAATGATAAATAGTTAAATTCAGGTCGAGGCATCCAAAGACGATCTTGACTATAAATGCCATAGATACACACAGCAATCAGTTCAAACACAACTAGAACAAAAAACAAAAAAAATGTTTTCACCATTGACAAATTCAATATTATATCAAATCCGTTTCTATGGATAGAAAAGAAACTTACAAATAGCAAATGACATAATACACACTATTAATTGATACCTCCATTGCCAACGAAATGATGAAAAAACTGCTACAACTAAACTTGAAATAGTTGTTATTGTAAAAATTAATCCTAAAGTAGCAAATGCTTGTACCCATTTAAACCAAGCTAAATAAGAAAAAAAGCACAACAACAACAAAAATTATTTTTCTTTATAATGAAAAATTTTACATGGAATAATCCAATCGCGAAAACGATACATTTCATTTGTCCAAAACCAAAAACAACCTGTATAAGGTATTTGTAAATCATCTTTATAATGACGATATTTATATAAACATAATTCCCATAAGCCAATATTTTGAAAATCTTTTGGTGTATCTTGATAACGTTTTGTCCAATAAGGTGATGCAAATGCTGATATACAACAACATGTACTTAAAAACATTAAAATTGATGCAAGAAAAAAATTTATTGAATATTCAGCATTTCCAAAACGAAATATACTCATCTAGAAATAGAATGATTTTCTATTTTATTGTAATAATAAAAACAAAAAACCAAAAACTTTTAACGGATAACAAAAAGAAAAACAAGATTAATCGTTTTTGTATTTTTGTTTACTTATTTTTTCCTCCATTTCGTCTATGTACTGTTGTCCATCCATCTTCATCAATATCCATTGAATGTGTCTTTGGTTTTTCTATTTCAATTTCTTCTTCAATCATATCATTTTCACTTTCACTTGATGATGAATCATCATCATCATCATCATCATTATTATTATTATTTTCATTTCGAATAGACATTTGAATAGGTGAAACAATTGAATTTTGTAATTGTAATTCTTGTTGAACATCATTTAATTTTCCTTGTAAAATTAAATCAATATAACGAACAAATAATTGTGCTAATTCATAACTTGAACCATCATCTAAAACTGTATTAAATTCTTCATCAAGAATTTCGTCAAGATATTCTTGAATATTATTTTCATTAGTAGACATTGATGATGATCGAATATTTCGTGTAAGATATTCTCCGAATGCTTCAATAAATGCTTCATATTTAGCTTGAGTTTCTGGACCACCCATTGAATGTATTACAGCTAATTGTAAAGCTGTCCATCGTGAAAATACTGATCGAATAATTGGAACAATTGTCAATAATAACGACATGATGAATTATACATACAATTCTCCATTGATAACCGTCGTTGATCTTTTTTTGTCTTTCGTTCGACCTCTCTCTTTTTTTCGAATCACATCGGTGCGCTAGCTACATGAAATTTTGATTGGATTAAATAAATTTTACAGCGAATGAATGAATGAATGAATAATGAATTTCAATTGAATTTAGAAAAATGTTTAGTTCTAATAACAATGGTTTTCAATTATGTAAACGTCTTCATCGAAATAGAATTATTTCGATTCTATCGGGAGTTCTTGTATGAAATCGAGAATGATTATTTTTTTTTGTTTTTTTTTTCATTAAATCTTTTTATTTAGTTTGCAATCGGTTGGTGGATTATCATTGACATGATTTGTCAATATCCTAAACAAACTGATTTTAATAAAGTTTATCTTATTATTGGTGTAATAGCTACATTAGCACTTATGTTGTAAGTTGTAATTCAAACGTTTTTTGTTTCTCTATTATTAAATAACTATATTTCATTGATAAATTTAAATAAGAAGCAATTGTGTATCAAATTCTCAAGTTCGTGGTTATGATGATGGTGACAATAGTCTTGGACAAATTGGTATGTTGTTGAATTATATAAATAAGATTATATCTTTTCATATCATAGGAGCTCGATTTGTTCTTTTTATTTCATTTCTACTTGTATTTGGTTCATTTATTGCTAGCGCTTGGGTATTATTTGGTTACTATGTTACTTATAAAAAAGATAGACTTTATCCTGGTCTAGCTATTTTTGTTCAAAATCTCGCTATATTGATTAGGTTTGTCATATTGCTTTATTTATTATTGACATTCATGACTTTTTTTGTTTTCTTTAGCACATTGATCTTAAAATTAGGTCGCAAAGAAAATCTTCGTTATTAATTAATTATTCTTGAAAATGATTTTCTATTTGTTCATATATAATTATCTTTACGTGTAAACTTTTTTTCTTGGAAGTCAATATATTATGTATATATATTAAACAATAAAATATTGTATATTGATAAAATAAATCGATAATTGGTTTTGTTTAAAGAAAGATTAGTTTGTTCTTATGTAGCGTTAGCATTTTCTTTTTTATATCACATGGGAAATCAAAATCTATGTGTATTTGTCTAAGACTGTAAAGTATGCATAAGAAAATAAAAGAAACGATATACTTGAGTAAGAAAATCTATTGCATACCAATAGATGGTTATTGCATTCATATAACCTCTCACATTCATTAATTTGTTATGAGAGAAGATCAGAATTTCTTTTGTATCGCCTTCTCTTTCTTGTTTTTTTACTATGAAAGTGCCGATGCTGATGACAGTATGGAAAAGTTGAACTCAAAATTGATTATTTGACGCGCTTTTTCCTTTCGCTATCGTCATTCACCCGACTCGCCCTTTTTTTTGACTTTCTTTCGCATAAAAAAAGAAGAGAGAGAGTGAGAGAGAGACAAAATGAACCTCTCGAATTGCAATCTAGTGTATGCCGACCGCCTCTCAATTAGCGTCTTAACAAGAATGAAGTAAAAAGATGCAGAAAGACTCATTGATAAAATGTATGTGATTCAAGACAGTCAGGCGAAGAACTAGCCAGCGGCAGCGGACATTGTATTCTTTAGATGTCCTCTTGAATTTACATATTCTTTTATATGTCTTAGCGATATCGTAACCATCATAATAATAATCATCATCATCGTAGGAGGACGGAACACGCACACAAAGTCGTTGTCATCATCTTACTTAGTGCCTTCTTTCCTTTTTTTTTCTTCTTTTTATTATTTATTATATGAGTTAGCTCACAAAAGAAAACAGGCTAACAACAACATGGCAGAATTGTAATAGACGACAAAATCGTTTTGATCGATCTTTGCCGTTGTCAGCGAACTATTCGTAATGCTAGCATTTTCTTCGATGAATTATGTAGTAAAAAGAAAAGAGTCGCTGAATGAATCAATGTCATGTGCTCCCGTTGACAACAGCATGCGTAGAAATAAAACACACGATTATATATTTCCTATTCTCATTAGACTATTATTGATATTGTAGGAAAAAAGTAGCAGTGAATTGAAACATTTGGAAAAAAAAAGATTTTCTACAGCATGTATCAATCAAGGGATGAACATATTATTTTCCAGAGATTTCGTCTGAAACAAAAATTCTTTTAGGCAATTACCGATCATAATATTTTGTTTTTTTTTTCCTCGGAATTTCTAAATCTACTCGTTAGTATATCACAGAAGTTTTTTTTTTCTTCATGTATGTCAATCAATGTGTACATATATGTAGTAGCTGTTTTGCATTTTATTTTCTTAGACTTATGTCTCTCTCAATCTGTCGAAGTCAGTTTTTCATCTAGTGTCATCCTTCCGTTGTTATTTTTTTTTATCTTGTGCTCCGGTATTTCAATAAGAACAAACGTTGGTTCTAATTGGACTTTGTATACATGTTTACTTCTTTTTTTTTCTCTTTGAATTACTCGTTATAGTCTAACTAAATCGTTTCTAGTGTGTACTTCTCTTTTAAGAATAAATCATTAGTTTGCATGATTAACTTGTTTTTTTCTTTGCTTTTCTATATTAACATCATCATCATTGAATAGATTTATAATTCTTTTTTAATTTTACTGCGTTTATTTTTTTCTACGATTAGTTTTCAAAACGGAAATACATATCATTCTATATATATACAATATAAATTATCAATAAATGTATCCTTGTATGTTAAGATATTTGAATGATGAGAACAGTTCCTCTTCTTCTTTTTTTTTCTCCGTTTTTTTTTACAGGATCAACACATTCATTTTTCATTCCATTCTATGTTCTATTACCATTGCTCTCTCGTCGTTCTTCCGGGGATGAAAAACAGAAAAAAAAGGAATAAATTTTCTCTATCTTTCGTTTTTTCCTCTCTTTATGGTAGTTTTCTTCTTTTTACTATGTCTAAGCAACAATCGTGTGTATGCATAGCTCGACAAGATCTTTTTTCTATTCCGACACTATTCTTATCACAACTGCTATCAATATTTTCAATAATGATCATGAATAATCATTAGAAATATTTAAACAAGAACTATGAACCGTGAAAATTTCTATATACTTATCAAGTTTTATGTTTAATTATTACAATTATAAGAAAAATAAATCGAAACATGTAAGTCATACAATATAACCTTCTATTTAATATATATTGGGATAGAATATAAGTCATCAATGATCACTTTACATAGAAGTATCATCAGGATAAATAATCCCGAAAAAGTTCACATATGGATTGCATATAAACATCCGTTTCTTTTTTTCTTTTTACAATGACATGCATCTACATTTATAGTACAAAACAACAGAAAAAAAGGACATCGATCTTCTTCAAATTTGAATTTATAATACAAAATGACAGAAAATCGACAGATTGCAATCGTACTATTATCATCACCATCATCAGTCAATTATTATTGTTGTTCACGCGTGCAATGTCAAATGAAACCACTTAGTCTTTATGAAAATAATTTTGGCGTGCATTTAAGCAAGCAAAACGATGTCTGTTGTGCTTATTTGTTTATTTGATTAATAGGAAATATTGAAAAGAACGAAAAAAAAAACCATCGTTTCATATGATTATTTTTCTCTTTTGTTAAACAAGAAAAAATAAATAATGATAGCAACGATCCAGAATATAAAACATTAGATGGTATAAAACAAAAAAAAAAACTACATTTATCTCATCATGAAATGAATGTGTCGCCTGAAGTAGAACCGTAGTATTATAGGCAGAACAACTCCTCGACTTATTATTTTGATGGCCTTTAGGATGTGATGTTTTAAGATACGACGCAGAGAAAGAAAGAGGGGGGAAGGGAGAGCATGCATGTAGATAGCAAGCAACACCAATCCGTTTGTATGTTATCAAAATAAACGTATAAAAATTATGAAATCTGTTAATGATTTGGTATACAAGGACACTTAATTGGAATGGGCATCGAGTACAGATAAGCATATATTTATCTTCGTGTCATATTCTTAAGAAATGAACCATAATTATATATGCTGATAGTTTAGACATATATTTTCATTTTTCAGTAAAAATAACTTGATATTTATTATAATCGTCCATATTTTTTTTTTTTAACTCGTTACATATATTGAGAACAATGTAACCTACAAATATAGATAATGTGATAGCTTTTATCTATGACTATATACACTCAAGAGAATTACGGAGATGTTAATATTAAGGAAAGGACAGAGAGAGAGAGGAGGAGAGAAGAATGACTTGAATACTAATAATTAATATTATGTATTTTTATTTTCAGATTTTAATTGCATTAGTATGTTTCTATTATTAATAGCAATGCTGATAATTTTTATTTGAAGATAAGTAACTAAATAAAAGAGAAACATACATCCGATGTAGGATGGTCGTATGGCTTCGGCCGGAATACGTCCTGGCGTTTGTTACCAGTTTTTATTATTGCTCTCAATTAGGTTTGTATCGTGAGATTATTCAATTGAATATCTATCATCTTGGGAATTTTTCTTTTGATCCGAACGTCATCTCGATGTATCTAATCGTCATTTCGGAATTACGACGGAACATTTTCAACTAATCAATTGCTTTCTCATCGGAAACCAGTGGATTATAAGGTTATCGATCATGCTGATTTTGAATATGATCATAAGAAATCTCCTTAAGTTTTTGAGAAAGTTGATTTTCTAAATTAATAGAATTTTCACCCAATTTTTTTTCCTTTTGATCTGTTCTAATTATACAGCATATCAAATTGTCCTAGAAAATAAGAATTTTTTCTGTTTAAAATGAATTTTTCTTGCATAAAATACAGCTCTATTAATTCAGACAACTAATTTTTGGAAAACATAGAAGAGATTATTGTTCTATAGACAACTCGATATGCTCTGTAATCTGAGTAGATCCCCAACGACTTTTGACAAAATTTTTGTTAGTCTAGAAAACCAACATATAATGACCTAAGGGGATTACTTATATTTATATTGGGAATCAACACATAGTCGATAACCTATAATTTAATAGTATTTAATGAGAAAACGATTGATCAGTTAAATATGTTTTCTTGTTAGACTCTTTTGAATAGGGAATATTCTTTTTCTTTTTTTTTGATATCAAAATATTGATACTTTTGTATAGATTTTATTTAAGAAAAAAAAAATTTTTTTAATATTTTCATTTGCCTAAAAGAAGTAAATTAATCTATGTAAAACAAAAAAAAAATTTGAAGTTTAAAAGAAGAAAAAGAATAATTTTCAAAATGGTCTAATTTTTTGAAATACTAAAAAGAAACTTTTTAATTTAAAATAACCATCTGTTGAATATGAAATATACTTAAACATATTAAAAGGTAAATTATAAATAATAAATATTTAGAAAAATAAAACTCTAATGAATATCTATAATAGGATGTACTTAGTTCTAATTAATTTATTATTAACTTTATTCTTTCGAAAATCTATTATCTCAGATAATTTTATTTTGTATTTTAAATTAGTTTTATCAAAAACATATGAAAAATTTTGGTGTGCAACTGAAGAAGGTTATCATCAATTATCTTGTTCAGATGAAACAGCATTATTAATTGATATAACAATAAGTAAAGTTTATCGACGTACACAAATGTGTGAACCTGATGTTCACTCAGAATATCTTATTCATTGTCAATCATATATTGATGGTTCATCATGTGAAGGAAATAAAACATGTTCAATTGAAATATCAAGTCGAGATTATATAAAATGCGAAGATAAAACATATGCACCAACATATTTTTTTGTTAAATATACTTGTACACAAAGTAGAGAATCTTCAAAATTAATATAAGAATATTTGCATCTTTTCTTATTAGTTCATACAATGTGTATAGATACAGAACCTATTCGAAATACATTACATGGATATATTATATCACCAGCTTATCCACATCCAATGGCTGACGGTCTAAAATGTTCTATTACTATTGGTATAATCTTCTTTTCTTTTTCATTAGAAAAAAAATTCTTTTATTTCAGAAGCTGATCCATCTATGTATATTGAATTATCTCCAATTCAAATACAGTTACAAGAAGCTATTAAATGTCGAGGAGAATATATTGAAATATTTGGTTATGATCCATCATTTAATGAAAATAATGTCGATAAAAATAATAATTGGAAAGAATATCATACATGGTGTGGTGCTGATCGTTCAATAAATAATCCATTACCTTATGCACGTTATCTTATTTCATCAAATTCTTTATATATGTCATTACAAACAACTATTTCTAGAGATGCAAGATATTTTAAAATTCGATATAGAGGTTAACTAATTATCATAGAATATTTTTTGATAAAAGTCTTTTTATGTTTTTATTAGTTGTTCCAGTCATAGTACGTTCTCAATATAATTCCGATGGAATTGCTTATGATTCAGTAATCAAAGAACATAAATCTTCATTAATGATACTAACAACATCTATTATGTCAACAAAAACTATCAAAGTATTATTGAACAATAGTGATGTAAAAAACGTTAATGAAACATTAACAAAACAAACATTTAGAAAAGGTTAAAAAAAGAAACAAAAAAGACGTGTTGTATTTTTTTTTTTTTTTAATGAAAATTTATTATAGAAATTCTTATTGGAATTATTGCTCTTGTAATTGTTCTTCTGATTGCAATCATTGCTGGTATTCTTATTTTTATTTTGATTAAAAGGTAATTTACAAAAAACAAAAAGAATTTTGTCAATATGATGCTAATATAGATCGAATCATTTCTAATTGAGTAAATACATTACTTTAATGATGCTCATTAGATGAAAACAAGAGAGAAAAGAAAAGTTAGTGAGCTTTTGAAGTCGAATTTTTGCTGTTTTTTGTTAGAATGATGTTAGCCAATTATTGGATTTATCTATTGTCTTTGTGCGTAGTTCGAAAATCACTCGCTTTAAACTCAAAAATTTGAATAAAACATAGATTCTTGAAATTTAATTACATTCATTAAGATCGCTTTTTCTTCTTTAGTTGAAGAATATTCAACTTGACATGCCTCGAGAGAAAGAACATGCAAGAGTCTAATTTAATTAGTCTTTTTTTTCTCAACCAAATCCCGTTATATGAAATAATGGCTCGCTAATAATTATCTTTTATAATTTAATTTCATATTATCATTTTAATCTTTCGTAAATCATGTTCGTTTCGTATGTCAAATACAGATATGTCCTTGACTATTTATAGTAGAAAAGAATAAGATCAGGGTTTTATCGAGATTTTCTTTTTTGAACTAATGATTTCAAACTTCCGAAGGGTAAACATCTATTTTAGAAAGCACAGAAATATAAGCCTTACGAGGGAATATTTTCAATTAATCAATTGCTTTTGAGTTCAGACTGTGTGCATAAGGTAGATTCCAGTGAGATTTGAAAACCTTCAATAGAACAAGTCTCCTTAGATCTTTTGTCGAAAGTTATAGGCAATCTACTAAAATTTTAGTCTCTGACAATGTATATATTAAAAATCAAATGATGGTATTTTGACCTGAGATTTTTCCCATAGGCAAGTCTATTTGTCAGTAGAATGCCCGAAAAATGTCAGTTCAAAAGGATGTTTCTTTACCGAGGTATTAAAGTCTCTAAGAATAGAAAATTATAGCGTCTTTCATGAAATATGAGTGGATTTGTAGGACATTCTATTGACAAAGTCACCTGTCTGCAAGAAAAATCTCCGATTGAAATACCGTTATTCGATTTGTTGATATATGTATCTCATACTTATGCATCACTCGATTCTGTCTTATGCACTGAGTACGAATTCAAAATTTTTGAATAAGACTCGCTGTCCTCAGTTCATACCCTGAATAAAACAGAAATTTCTCAAGTCAAATTAATATTCGTCTATGATTTTAGACGTCGATCTTCATCTTCATCTAATGCTAGAAAGAAAAATGTACCTTCAACAACTAATAATACCACATCTAAATCAACAGCTAAATCATCTGATAAAGCGCCACTTCTTGAAAAAGTCAATAATACATCTACAAATGTAACAAAACAAAAACTAGTTCCTGAACGAACAGTACAAATATCTGATGTTAGTACATCTCGATTTAAATCTCCTGAATTAACAGGTACAAAACCCGGTTTAACAAAATCTGAAGTTCCACCATCGAAACCAACATTATCTGCAGTTGATAGTGGTATATATGGTGTTGATTTAACTGAAGATACCATAACCGTATCAAAACCTGTATCATCATCAACAGCTGATCCATCAAAAAATTATAATAATGTTTTACCTGATGCAATAGAATTGGTATCAAAAATTGTTGTTAATCCATTAAGTGGAAATGCAACAATATCTCATGCTACTATCTTTTCAAATGATGTTATTGAAAAAACTTCATTATTAACAAATGAAAATGAAGAAAAAGAAACTCTTCTAGACAATACTGTTCAAAGTGCTTATCCTCATGTAGTTGATATGGCGTCGAGTGAAAGTGATGCAACACTTTGTGGTAGTGGTCCACATTCAAGACGAACATCAACAACAAAACAACCATTAATTATTCAAGATTCAAATAATATTGAAACAGTTGTCCTATCCAATGATACACAATTATCATCATATCATCCAATCCCATTCAATCCATTACACGTGATATTACAAAAAGATGCCAATAAATATTATACAACAGAATATATTTGAATTTTTAGTATCTAAAACCTTATAAAATTTTAATATTTCGTTCTGCAAAAAAGGAAATAAATATATGTAATTTGTAGGATCGTTTTATTCTCCTCTTTATTTAATAAAATTAATATATATAGATATAATGTTAATCGTGTTTGATTCAAAAGATGTTTAATTTTCTTTAAATACTTTTTCAAATATTTGAAGACTGTTCGTAGATACAAACCATATTTGTTCAAATGCATATCGTATTGCTCTTTCTGAATTCATTAATGAATTGTTAAGTATTTCAAAAAATAATTCAGCTATCATTTGTTTATCATTAGAAAATGCACCCGTTCCAATGGGTCCTAATAATAAATATGTATTTTTACCATCTCCTTCAGTATTTGCAACAGCTGATGCAATTAATGTTTGAAATTTTTGACGAGTACGACAACGTATTTGTTGTTTATCTTTACGTGATGGTGGTTTATAAAGACCTTCGCCATGTTGGGATAAATCATAACCTTTGTACAAAAACAATACTGAGATTTTTTTGAAATTGAATAATTTATTCAGATACGTTCGATTACGAAAGACATGATACAAAAATACATTTCAATAAAACTTGAACTATGTTTTGATAAGAGAAATCAAAGATTCAATAGAAATTTTGTTGAGATGCGTGCCGAAATAGGTACTAGAATTTTGTCATAGAGATAAAATGTTGCAAGATTTTACTGTGACTAAAGAAAAATAGTAAGGGAACACTGTAAAGTGCAAACAAAAAGTTTAGAGACCCATTATTTTTGACTTTTTTCTTACGGGTAATAATTAGAACAGGTGGAAGCTCTCTAGAAAATATTTTCAGTGAGCTGTACTCATTCTACGAAAGACCGTAGACTGCGAAACATTGTGAATTTATATAAATTTTCATAAAACAATAGAAGACAGTTTTTTAGAGCTATTGCAGAGTTATTGTTGTTCGCTGAAGATAGGTCGTGGAAAGTTTGGAGACATCTTATTTTATTCAGAAATATTTTCTCTATTATATCAATCTGTTTGCAAAACATTTTAAATAGAATCCGAAAAACCAGTTTTTAGAGTCTTGGTTTTTCAGAAACCTTTTACCAAAACGTATTAATGAGCAGAAAGTTCTGGTAAATGGTTGGATTGAGAGGTTAGGATACGATTTCCATATCATCGGTTGATTGCGCTATGTTCTATCCGATTCAGCTCGGAAACAGAAATAGCCGATCATCGAAGAAGGATATTGTATTTCAAGTTCTGGCTATTTTTAGAAGATTCATTTATATAAAAAAACTTTCACATTCTCGCAGCGAAATGTAAGTTTTAGATGAAATTGTTGTGCAGTGTCTAGCACTTGCTTTAAACCTTGTGATGACAGTCCTTCAAGTGAAAAATCACTATTGAATCGAGAATACATACATTATGCAGACCTACATAAGTTATGAATACTCCGAAAAGAGTTCGCATCCTTAGTTTATTGCTGCGGATACACTGTATTTTTGCGGTATTTTTTTTTAATGACTTCTGTGGTTTCCGTCAGGAACAGCGGAAAAACTTATTTTAAAATTTCGACTTGAACCTTCATATTTACATAGATCTTAACGAGCGTAGCTTTTTGTGAATGTTTTAGATATTTTTCTTGTTCCTATCCTAAGATACAGCTTGTTTTTCACACTATTCGTATAAACCAGCAGATATCATGTTCTTATTTCAGGATAGAAGCAAATTAAAAGACCTCAAACTACTCTTGTTAAAGAATGCCTCTATACAGAGTGTCGAGACCAAATTCGAAAATCAATTTTTCTAATATTCTTGAGAGCGACTATGGCATTCATTTTAAAAAATATTGTAAAAGTACAATATCTTTACAACAATAAGCTAAGGACATGAACTCTTTACACGATATTCATAGCTCATTTTGAGTCTACGCGATTTATCAGTTGGAGAACTTTCCTCGTCAGATTTACTCTTGATAAACTGATGATTAAATTATTCAAACATAATATTCTTTTCTTTAAAACACATAAATCAGTTTCCTCACATGAAAATTAATTTACAATAAACTATATTAATAATTGTAACACTTACAAGCAGCAGCAATCAGATCTGTAAGACGTTCTTCATTAGACCCTTTTTTAAAAAATCGTACTCGTTTTATATAAGCAACTCCATATTCAGGTAACATATAACCACCGTCCATTATTGTATATTTCAAATCTAATAATGCACGGTAAGCATCAGAATTATAAAGAATAACCTAGAATTAAAATGAAGAAATTTAAAATAAATTCAAATAAGATATCTATTCTAACTTCTTCTTGTGTCATAGCATGTTCTAGATAATAACCACCAGGCATACGTTCATCAGCAAAATCGAGTACAATCACTTGTTTACCATTGGGAACTATAAAAACAGCATCTTGAATACCTAATATAACAAATCGTATTATTCCTGAATGTTTTCGTTCATGAACCGGTGAATTTAATAGAGCATCTCTTGCATCATTATCTGTTATTGGATTATAATTATTAAACAATGTAAGTGATTGAATTTGATTATAATTCCAATAAATTTTAAGTTCATCTGGTTGAAAACCATTTGAACGATATTGAGATATATATTGACGAGACTTTAATGGACCTAAGAAATGAGTAGATATTTTTAATTGCCAATAGGGTCCTAAATTTTCAGCATGATATTGTACTTGATATAATTCATTTGTATTTTTTAATTGAGCATACTCTTCTTCAACAATTGACCAATCAAAATTTGGATAACATTCACAGATAAAATCAAGTACTTGTTTATTGTTTGATGTTGATTTAATTGATAATAAAAAGTAAAGCATTGTTCGACGACTATGATGATAATCCACTCGTTTTTTCCAACTTTTATCATTTGTCGATGGAAATGCAATACTTATTATTGAACATATATCACATTTACGTAATGAATGTATCGGTACATACATGTATGTATTTGTTATGTTTTGTTGTATTGATTTGAAACAAAACGATAGAAAAAATAGTAATATTGAAAAAATTGACATGTACATTTTTATGTCACAGAATAATTATTTAATTCTAGATAATAAAGAATGATTTAGCGCACAAATGAAGATCTTTTTCTCAAGAAAATTAAGTGACATTCGATTTTTATTCGGCTACGAAACATGATGTAAACCTACGAATGTGGGTTATCGAAAAAAACCAGTATCTCATAAAAAATGAATAATGCCTTTTTTCCTAATGTTATTAACGTTGTGCTAGAATCAAGGTTTTTGTTCTCACTGTAATTCGTGAAATTCAGGTTTCGATCAATTAGTTCATTCCAAAATTCATTACTGACAGAATTCTGTTAACAGTTATTAACATCTTTCTCATGAATTCTATTGATTGGTCGCTTGATTCTCTTGCTGGTTGATTATCTATTATTAGTTATATATATATACAGAGAGAAATACGGCTAGCTTTTATTACCGTCTTCATTATAGTAATTTCGAAAACTTGGAAAAAAAACAAAGTCCACAAAAATAGTCCTTTGGAGTAGCTTTATGGAAGAAAATGGAATGTCATATTAAAGATAAAAAAAAAAACGTATGGTATTTATTCGATTATGAGATTTCATACTCGTGTTTCAATGAGTATTGTCCAACTTCCATTCTTTTGAGATCATCGCAACAGACAATGACAAACTTTGATGCATACATTGAGAAAGAATGAAAGAAAATAATTTTTTTCCTATAAACTTTAATTTTAATTAATGTTAAAGTTCACTCAAATATTTATCACTACTGGTCAATCAATAAATACAATCTTTAGTAGTTCTAATCAATTTTTTTTGTATACCTAGTTTGACAAATAATTTTATGTTAACATTTGATACAGCTGCTGAACCGAGTTCAATTTTACAAAAGTCTTCCTCTAATATTGCCTAATGTCGGTCAATATAGGATGCGGGTGTTGCTTATAGTCTTCTCTTCCGCTACACCCATACCAACACCTACGTTCACACTCTTTTTTTATTCGACGTAATTCATTGACATAGTATATCAAATTCATATTGGCATTATCTTTTTTCTTGTAAAAAGAACTTCCGACATCTTTATGGAACTAAGAATAAACTTTTGCCCGATAATCACTAAGAGATATAACGTGACTCATGAGATAAATTGCATCATATTGGTGCATTTTAACCACTTGACCAAAATATAGCAACTAGTATGTTACTCCTACATCAATGCAAAAGATTAATAATTGATTTTAGTAGGAAGTAAACGATTGTTGATGTGATTGTTGCTATTCTATTCATTTACATCTGTACACAATACTCTCATATCTCATCTCTAATCTTCAACCAGATTCAATCTTTCGCTTTCACTTTCACTTTCGTTTTCATTTTTTTTGACTGAAGTGATTGTTTTGTTGATGTTGAATTGTATCTCAAACATAACTATAGCACTCAAAATTAAGCAACAAACACGTTATAACGAACGTTATATTGCTTTCTTTTAACGCATTTTTTCTTTCAACAAATGTTCGAATTTTTGCGTTTTAACAGTGGAATTACTCTTGACTTTGAACTTGTTATAGTGAGTGGAAACACAAGTGTTTAAACGCAAAAAATCGGACACTTTTCATATGTTTAAATACGCTGAAAATTTACGTTTTCATGGGTTAAAATAAATGAGTATTTGAATGCTATAAAACACAGAAATTTTGTCAACATTGAATATTAGTTATGCTTTATTAGGAGATTTCTATGTGTACTCTCACAGTTATCAGAAAGAAAAATAACAAGAGAAAAAAAAAGATTGTTAGATATGCATATATCTCTAAATATATAGTTCACATTTTTTTAACAGAATTTGCATATGTTATTTTCATTTCCTGTACATGTATTTTGTTTAAGAAGTCGACTGTACTTAAGGATATATGTATATGTAACAAGCCTTTTTCTCTTATTGGTTTGTTTTTGATAACTGTGAGGAGTACACATAGAAATCTCCTAATAAAAACTAACTAGTATTCAATATTTGAAAAAAATTTCAATGTATTTTATAGCACTCATATACTCAATTATT